GTGGTCCACCAATGGGTCATCCTATTAATATGGGAGGTTCGATACCACCTCATGGTTTTCAAGGTCCACCAGGAATGGGACCAAAACCAATGCCAGTTTCTGCAGGAAAGGTAAATTATTTTCTTCGTTTTGCGAAGATTTGTTACATTTCAATAAATGATTTATTATTCTAAATATGTTTATTATTTTAATATTACAGATATATCCTCCAGATCAGCCAATGGTATTTAATCCACAAAATCCTAATGCTCCACCCATTTATCCTTGTGGAGTGTGTCATAAAGAAGTACATGATAACGATCAAGCAATTCTTTGTGAATCAGGTTGCAATTTTTGGTTTCACAGGTATATAAAAAATTATATTCTCCTTTTTATTTAATATCATATGAATTTATATATATCTAATATAATAATAAAAATTTATTGTAGAGGATGCACAGGATTATCGGAAACTGCCTATCAATTATTAACCGCAGAAGTTTATGCAGAATGGGTGTGTGACAAGTGCTTACAATCGAAAAATATACCTTTGGTTAAATTTAAACCATAACACTTCTTAACTCGTCGTATATGCGACATACGAGTGACTCTTTGTTAGCGTTTACATCTTGTACACGCACACATGCGCGTGCAATTGCACACAGATAAACACATACGGTATACATTAATGCATGAGCGAAATCATGCATATAATATAAACATACGCTGTTTGTTAATATCTTAGCTTTAACTTGTTGAAACATTAGGGTATCACTATGAGTCATATTGGTGAATGAGATGGCAAAAACAGCATATAGTATGTTCGAAAGTTGCATTACTTTTTAAGTATGTTTATGACAAATAGATTCATCTGTTTAAAAAGTTATTTATCATTTAATTTTTAATGTTACAAATCTATTTTCAATCGTCCTAATCATAAATATGAATGTAGAAAATATATTAATTTAAACAAAAAATTTTGTTAAATATTATATGATCGATGATGAATCATTCAATTTCAAATTATATTTAATTCAAAATTAAAAAATAATTATACAGATTTTTTTACACACAACTAAGTTAAATTATATTTTTATGAAATAGAAATAAAATTGATTAAAATTGATTTGATTAAAAGAAATAAATGATGTTTTATAATGATGATATTATCATATTTATGTTGCTATTATATAACGTCATTTAATTTCTTCTTCTAAAATCTTTTCTATTTCTATTTTAAAGATGTGTAGTAATTATATACTTCCGCTCAGTTGTGCAAAATATTTCTGTATGCATATAAAGAATAAGAAAATATTCATATATATATTTTATGGACGATGAAATTTTACTGGAATTTTATATTAATAAGAAATTGAACAAATACATACTTTGTTTATTTTATTTAGGTTTGGGTGAACGTTCCTGATAAACTGTAATTGTTATTCAAAAGTAATTAACAGTACATATTAACTTTATTAATAATTTCTAGTTATGTCATTGTCATTTATCATCAGGCTCGTTACGTTAATTAAGAAAATCCAAAGGATAAAAGTGGTACTTTTATAAAAAGTGAAATTTGCACACTTAACAATTGTTTAAGAACAAAATAATACAAATTCCAAACAATGTAAATTTTTCTAATTAATGCGATTATAAATATTCATATCTATCTTCGAATATCAGAACATCAGAGAATTCCTAAATCCATTTTTTTGTATAATTAAAATAACATCGAAGTATTTTGAGTTTTTAAAGGATTTGATTAAAATATTAATAAAATATTGACTAGAATATCGATACAATTAAATATATGCAATAATTACTTTTAAAGATACTATCTCAAAATTGTTTTTTGTTTTTAAATATTACAAATGAAAATAAGATTTTTGCATTTTTATATTGCAAATATTTTAGTATAAACCATGGTCAGTTATTTTCGAAATATATTAGAGTTAAAGTTTAAAATATACTCAAAATGTAAATAGAATCAATACTATAATAATAGAAAATTTTAATATTATACATAAGAAGAAATATTTCTATATTTTTACAATAATCAATCAAAGATTTTTTTTCTATTATCATTTACGTAAGTGATAAGAAAAAAAAGTAAAGTTTTTTTAATCAAAATTAAATTATTATTTTTTACCATGGTTTATACAGAAGATTAATTCAACAAATATAAGTAACAAATTTTTTATTTATATATATTTATATATAATATATTTTGGAAAAAAAACGACAAAAATTCAAATTGGCTTCTTATATTTTCTTTGCATTATATTTAAAATAATATAATATACAAAAAGATTATATTTATTCATGCAAAAACATAAATTTTAAAATCATAAGAATCATTGATATTAATAAAAAGTAATTTGTATAAAGAAATATTAAGAAGATAAGAAAATCGAATCATTGTTATAAGAAAAGTATCTAAAATATATAGTTCATTTATATATTTAACAAATCTGTCTTTTTTTGATGCAATTATAATTTAATAACAAAATCCCGCAAATATCAATTAAACTCAAGATACTTCGTATACATGTCAAATAAAATCATATATTTAGTTGCAATAATAAAATTTGTGCACATATTCACACTAATACACACATATTACATTCACGCTCTTCTTCAAGTTAAGATTTATTGTTACATTTGCCACAGACTTTTGATGTCAGTATATTCAGAAAGAACTGAGTATTATATCGACGTGAATGATTAAGTGAAATGCAGTGAAAAAAAAAAAAAAAAAAAAATTAAATCCCGCCGGGGCCAAACCCAAAAAAAAGCCAAGGGGTTGAAAGGTTTAAAAAAAAAAAAAAAAAAAAGAATTGAATTCCGTCGGCAGCTAACCCAAAATTAAGTCTACGGATTGTATAGTTATAAACATATATATATATATACGTATACATACATATATGTATGTATAGATATATATACACATACACACACAAATATATATAAATATAGCTAATTATCATTTTACTGTTTGATGCCTGTATTATACGGAGGACTGATTTTGAAAATTTTAAAAATATCAGATTGAATGGTTTCTCTAATACCCACAAATTCTAATAAATTCTAATAATTATTCTTTTATTCAGTTTTCAAGTTTACTCTCCGTGTAATCCACGCTTTAATCTTGTTTTATTGTAATCCTTTCTAACAAATATTATACATGAGTAACGTACACAGGATCCTACATAACTACATAATGCTCATATTAGTATTACAACGAATAGAATACCATCTTCACATATCTTCATTCTATATTTTGTCATGTCGTGGAGGCCGAAGGGTCGTGGTCACGCTAAAAATCGTTAACGTTGCTTTTTTTCTCTATTATGAAAAATTATATATGGGAATGCAGGGGATTAAGCGAATAATGAGAGAAAAAATGTTACTCAACGTGGGACGGGGAAACGGTGTGTAAACGGAAATGATACTAGATAATTGGAGGATCAAGGATAATGATTTTCTAGTACAAACGAATAAATCGTAATTTAAGTAACTACTAGTAGTGTCTATTTTCCAGAGATAATTTATATAAGTTATATCGTTTGCGAACGAAACCGTTATACGATCGTTATACGATCATCAAATACGATGCACGCCTAAAACATTATGTCTAAATGAAAAGAAAGAATCTTTGACTTATATTTAACGGTAGCTTAATCCCTGTATAATTTGTTAAAAACAAATGCATTTCATATGTGTCTGAATGTTTGTCTCATTATATTACCTTTAAGTTTGATCACCATAACCTTGTTTTTCAGCCTTTTATTCTTAAAGAAAAAAAACAAAAAATAGAATATTCTCCCGAAGTTCTAAGCGTAAACGATCTAGAGATCAAAAATTTCACGAAAATGTATATTTATCACGCGATACAATATTAGATAAGTGTCTGAATATACATATATAAATAATATTCGATTTTTTTATCATCTTTAAAATATTTGTAGAATTTTGGCGAATGTTTTTCCATTCGTTTGTGTACATAGGTCATTTACATTCTTTCATCAAAGGCAAACACAATAATGAAAAAACGATACAAAATGAACGTATCAATTATGCGTGCCTCCAATTTATTGTATCAAATTTGTAAATATTTTCTGTATCGTGTTAAGAAATCAAAAATACGTTGAATGCGTGTCGCGTCATTTATTTTTGCCTAGACGCATAAAAAAGCGATAGAAAAAAATAATATTTTTTATTCTTTTCTTAGATAATTATTGTACATTTAAATTAACAATTTGAATATGATTTGATATATGAGGAAAATTTCAGCGTTTCGAGACACGCAATTTAAATGCAATACTTCAATTATTATTATTGTTAGTATGATTAATATTATTTACTATTTTATCATTTTTGTACATTACTATGTTCGAGATCAATATTTATCACTAATAATTGAATTTTTATTCATTATTCATTTTAACGCTTTTGTATATTAAATAAGCGTTTAAGAAATGCATCATAATGAATCGGTTGTTGATTTTCAACGTGAAATTTTTTTATCATGGGAAACAAATTGAAAACGGAAAATAATTTAAAAAAGAACTTTTTTTTTTGTTTTAAACGTAAGATATAATAATAGACAAAGAAATATGACCGTATTATTATGATCGAAAGATATACGTAATAAACTTTTTCATAAATGATTTTTTTTCATGTAAATGTTGACATACATATATAAATACATGTATATATAAATATATAAGTATATAGCTATATATGCGTATATTTGTATATATACATAGTACATGTCAACAATAAAAATTATATTGTAGATACATATTACATGTATATATATATATTATTATTATTACTATAAAAGCGTGTGGTTATATTCTCAATTATCTGAAACGTGTATATATTTATATGGCATTTTAAATAACAAATCCATATATCATGTTGATTTTTACATTATTATATTTGTATATATATATATGTATGTGTGTGTCTTGTGAAACATTATCCGTTCATTTAAAAACACAAGTAGTTCAAAGTGATAGTTTATTTTCTTAATTTAATATATCAAAATGTTTGATCTTATTATTTATAATAATTGAGTATTTTTCCTTTTTTTTTTCTTTTAATGAAATTTTAAAAAAAGTAGTACAATTTAATATTATAAATTAACGGAATTGTTAGAAATTACTTAAAATAGCAATCATGAAATACAGTTGTGTCCAAATGTGTATTCGATTCACATTATGTCTCTCTCGTAAGAATGTTCATTAAATCATAACGCGTACTTATGAAAATTTAAGATAGAACTTTTGTCGTTTTTCAAGTGTATGAAGACGTACAATATTCGATAAAGTACGAGCAACGTGAGCTTTCGTAATTCTACAGTTTCGATCTTTCGAATTCATATCATTTATCCAAAATTTCTTTGGTATGTTTGGTCGAATATAAACCGGTTTTTCGTTACAAATTACCTTGAAATCTGTAAATCGAACAAATTGTTTTTGTATTCGTTTTTCCAGAATTCAAACGTATACCTCACCTCGCATATAAAAATTTTTTGTTTTTTAAGTTCATGAATGCAAAATTATCGTCCATCACTTTACCCTAGAGAAAATAAACAAGACACATTTACATAAGAATTAAAATAAGAAACAATTAAATTTCATGGAACATTATCTACTTTACTTGCTTTCAGGCAAAATTGCGATGATTGATTTATCCATGGTTCATATCTTGTCTCTATTGCAGAAGAGTGAATGTGACATTTGTGTCTACAAATAGATGCACTTCTGCTTATGTTATCTGTATATCCAAGTCTTCCGTACAACCCATATTTTTTCTCGTCGATAGCTCGTAATGTACCGTTCTTCTTCATTGCCATATATATTTGCTCCAGCATTCCATAACTCTTAATCAAGAAATCCCGTTGTGCTAATGATGTAACACGTTCTCTTTCCTCAGATTCACAAATAATCTCTGGCTCGAACGAATGTGAAATATTATTTGAAGCCGTCTGCTTCTTTATCTACAATATCGTTTTTAGATAAAATTCAAACTCGTTTTTTACAACGATTTGTTATTTTCAAACACTGACATGTAAACAAGAATTATTTTTTTTCGATATATTCATAGATTTACTCTTCTCCAGATCATTTGTTATTGTATTCTTCTGCGTCGCGTTTGGACTCTCTGAATGTAACTTCGAATCACTGCATTTACCAGAAATCTTCTTATTTTCTTGTTCCTTCATTTTCACCTATCAATCGAATGAGAATTTCTTGTAAATCAATGATCAATCCGTTCGTCAAATAAATTTTGTGAAAATGAAGAAACACCTCATTTTCTTCCTTTTGGATCCTCGATGCTTCCTCTCGAGCTCTAGATGCCGCAGTATCTTGATATACGGATATGTTAGTTTGCTTAAAAAATGGTTCGTATTTTTCACAGTCGGAACATGGATAGATCCTACGGAAATTGCCCATATGTTCTTCCTCCCATTTAAATTGCTTTTGGAGATAATCTTCCTCCAACTTTTCTGGTTTCGATGTCGTACCGATCGAATCGTTCGTACTACGTGAAATCGTTGAAACGATCATTTCGTTCACAACAGCTATTAAATTTAAATATTTAATCATTAACTCACTTGCTATCCTTAGAATTTATTCCCTGAAGCAGCCTATCCCTAACTCGCTTTCTATCTTCTTCGATAATTTTTTTCTTGTCGCATTGTTGAAAATTCAGCATTTCAAATGTATTCATCAACAGACCCTCCTTTATATCCTTATCGATTTGTGCATCTGTATGAAAACTCGGTGAATGATTAACCTATAACATATTTATTTCCCCTTCCCCTAAATAAATATACTTTGCTTACGTGTGCATATATGTATGCATACATATGTATATATATATATATATATATATATATATATACATATATTTTTTTTAGTGCACTATCGTTACCTCTAAAAGATATGGTTTTAGTTTCCAATCGAGTAACACGTCGAAACCGAGTAACTCGAAACACGCGTATGTTTTATCGTGTGTAGGAAAACACGTATGATAACTATGTTTCAAAATAGGATATGCCGCCAAAATGGTTTTTATAATGATTTCGTCGATTTTACGCCACATTTCATCCACATCGATATCTTTCATTTTAAACCACTTATTCAAAGTTGATATTTTCCTATATTCAAAAGATTTCCAGTCATTTTGAAGAAAATAAGCAACAAAATATCGTTTAAAAAAACTAACCTTTTGCTACCAATTTCGTCGTCGATTACATACATTCGACTATGTTTATTCACGGCATAATTAGTCAAGTGCATAAAAACGTTGGATGTGTTGTGACCGGTGGGTTCCTTATATCTACTCGTGGCAAATCTGAAATGAAATATATTTAAAAGTTACAACAAGAAAGGACGTAAATTGATGCGATTATTACCTCGCAAGACCATCATTGTACACGTAAATTCTAAGAGGATCGCAGGAGGTGAGCAATGCATAGATACGAAGATCAAATTTGTAACCGTCTACCAGGAAGGGCTACAGATAGGAATGATCTTCATTAAAAGAAAAGTATAAACAAACTGTTAAATTGAAAATACTCGCATACCCTGGCCACGTAAACTTGGCAAATCATGCGCTCGCTCGGTTTAACATCTCTCAAGTTTTTTGTCAAGTAAATGCCACGTCCTTGACACCCTGTATCAGGTTTAATGATGAAAGTTTTCGAGCGTCTTAATTTCGCATAGGCTATCGCTTCTCCGTGGCTAAACATTTTGATCGACGGATAATGCAAACATTCTTCTTCGTGTCAACAACAAATAAATAAGGTTAAGTTTTGAAAAAGAAGATAACGTTCTTACTCTGCGGGAAAACACCATGTCTTGGGGAAAAAGTTATAATCTTTTGGAAAAAGCTTCAACATGCGATTCAAGTTTCGAGCTAATAAATCCTTTCTACAGATTTCCGTCATTCCGGGGAAATGATTAACCTTTTGATATCTCTTCATATCTTTCGCCCGTTCCACGCTCACGCTCAAATCTGTCCAGTAAAGATTCCAACTGCTATCCTCGGTAACTTCTTTCATTCCAAAACGAGCTGCTACTCGTCTCACCGCGTCGTATTTACAATTACTCGTACATATCGTCAAATATCTTTAATAATAAATACGAGAGAACAAAAAGAAATAATATTATGTGCGATTTCTTTGTAAATAATATCGTACCTTCGTTTTTTCTTTTTCTTCTTGATCGAAATTCCTTCCTTTCTTGACTCGACATCGTCGGTATCCACAAATGACAAATCACCTATAAAATTTTACATAACAGACACTACGTGATACAAATATTATTTATTATCGAGATTAAATACCTTTCTCATCTTTTTTATCCGTTAAACATTTGGGTATAATTGGTTTTCGATCATTTTTATTCGAATCGGTAAATGAAATAATATTTAATGAAGTATCAGATACAACTACGAGTTTTTTGCATCGATTTCTGTATACAGTTTTACATGATCGCACTTCGGTACTTGAATCCGATTCACACGTGATCTCGCCACTTTTTTTTATATCACCAGTTTCGTTCTCGCGCACCACCATCAAAGGACGTTTGTTGTTGCGTTCGATGACGTTCATGACCGGTGTATCTCATTATTTTAAACGATCTCTCGTTGCATGGTATTAATTTGATTACAAATCAAATCAGATCTGCATTATACAAATACGTGGCTTCGTCAATTTTATTTCGAATGCGAAATCGGCTACTTAGATAAAGATTAAACTATAATAATATCCTTGGTGAAAAAGATGATTCGACTATGATCAATTTATTGGCGTACGAGAAACCGAAATTCGGTTCCATTTACAGAAATGCCCCTCCCAAAATCTGTTTTACATATCGTTCCACGCCTCAATTGTTTTTCCATTTCTCGAGGCAAGAAGACAGACTCGACGGAAATTTGATTTTATCCGAATCTCGACTCGTATTCTAATTTCGATTCAGTGTAAAATTAATCTGAAAGTTTTTAAGCAAATATCCGTGCGACGACGCAGGTTAATCAATGCTACTGCGGTTCAGTTCACGCAAAACTTAGCTCGAGAATTGCTTCATTACTTTAATTACGGCGCAATATAACTGCATAGAATTCGTATACTAATAAAAAGAAGTCATATATTTGTATATATATATATACGAAACGAATAGGTCAATCACAAATAAAATTTCGTTGTGCGATAAAAACATATAAAAAAAACCATATTCGATAAAAAAATTGTGTTATTCTCTATTGCTTATCTCTCTTTAAGATTTTTACAGATTCGATTTCAACCTTGTCATATCCTTTATAATCTTCACAATATTTAAAGCACATCCCCAACTTAACGTCACGCCGCTTCCTCCGTGTCCATAATTATGAATTATCTGTAAATGAATTAAATGAATTTCAATTAATCGAAAACTTTACAATCGATATTCGTACAAATTCGATACCGTAACTTGTCTCCCGTTGGAAGAACGGCAAACTTCAGTCTCTATGCGAACTTCGTATCTTCCAGGTCTAAGACCAACCCAATTTTTTGTTATTTTCGCATTCTTTGAATAATACAAATATTATTATTATATAACTAATTATTATTATTGCATTGCTAGTTCAAAAATAAAAATTTAATCAAAGCTATACCTTTAGAGCGGGCAAAATTCGACAACATCCATTGTGAATAAATTCGAAATCCTCTTTCCGCGGAGTGCAATCCAAATCATTTTCTTGATGCGTACCGCCCAATACTACGTTATCGATACTTTCAAAAAGACATATAAAAAAAAAAATAATAAATTAATAAAAACTACAACGTAAATAAATAGAAAATGATTTTTAATATTCAAAATTCATGATTCGTTTACTTTGGTATTATGTAATTTCCATGCTCGTTTTCTTCCAAATATCCGTGCATTATCCAGGATGCTGTCACCTTAAATGATAAGATTTATTTGACAAATTTTAACACCGCGGTAACACGTTCACTGTAAAACGCTACCAACCCTAGCAACTTGACCTCTGATAGATATAACGGCATTATCATCCACGAGTTCACGTGCACCAAAACCGCTGCAATTTATTATCAAATCGTATCCATCATCGATCAATTCGCATAGCGTATGTATTTTTCTTTTTCGAACTTCTCCGCCCGCTTCGAGAAATCGTTTGGTTAACCAAGGCAACATACGAATAGGTTCGCAAGTATACGTCAAGAACATCCACGCATGTCTATAAATTGATAACTCGAATCAGTCGTTTACCATAACGAATAAAATATTAAACAAATTAATTTCATTAACACTGTACTTATAATTGGCATTGCATTCGGTATTCAACTCTTTCAATTCGTTCGAATTTAGCTTGTGCGCACCGTATACCAATTTGGTCCAACTCAAATCGGGAAATCCATCAGGATTATTGGTAACGCGATATATCGGTAGCAAGGAAAGCCCGATATCAGATGCTAAGCCCGCTTTCCAAAATTTTTCCAACAATCGATGCGTAATTCCAGCCCATTGTCTGCCAGTAGTACAATCCGTAATTATGTGAAATTAAATTAATCTTAAACTCTAATAATACTTTCTCCTTCGATTTTAAACTCGTGTTGTTTTCACACAACGTGTTCTAAGTACTTACGTGTACGTACTTCGTTGTTCGAACTATATGTGAATTATCTGACGTCAGAGATATGTGTCAAATACTTACGATATTTTGTTATAAGGAGTGATCCCGAGAAGATAAGGAGTCCAAAGACCGGCGCTTCCTTCGCCAGTGGTGTTCGGTGACAATTTATCCGCAAATATATGCACTTCGAATTGTGGGAAAACGTTTTTCACCGCAAACGCACTTGTTACGCCGATCACACCGGCGCCTACCACTGCCACCCGCATATTTTGAAGATAAATCTAATTAACGCGGCGGATATCAAAGCGCAACTGCATCGAAACAACGTTCGTTTAAAATATAAATATAAAAAAATATAAATCGAATCACTTAAACGATATGATATCTTTGTATTCATAAGTCGCGATATTTACTTGTTGTTCAACACTCAAAACGTTTTTTTCAAGATAAATTAAAAAAAAAAAATCGATTAATTAACCATGCAAATTAACGACATTAAAAATAATCTCGTGCATGAAACTCGGGTATTGTATTAAATTTTTTTTATCCCCCCCTTAAATGACACGTTAGAATACAAAAGTGAGTGTTGTTACGTCCGAAAAATTGTACGATTTTTTTTTTTATATATATCGAAGATTACAATGAACTTACGATACCACATATTCTTAGCATAATGCCCCTGCACGGCTCGGCAATATTATGCTAGAATATGGGAATCGCGGAAGTCAGCGCGCGAAAAAACTGTATGTGGTAGTTGTGAAAAAAAAAATTACCATGTCGAAGTCCAAGCGATGTTCGTTTCGCGCCGCACCAACGATAAACGGAGCATAATACTTTAAATTTCGCGTCTCAAAGGTCTTATACTCTGCTTACCGATAGCACGACACACAATTTTTCGTTTTCACAGATACAAATGTTTTGCTCTCTCGTATATCCCTCGAAGTCGAAGAAACACCGAAGCGAACTTATTTACCTTTTATATAATAAGAGAAGAAGAATCACGTGACATTCGATCGAATTATTTTCTCGTAAAAAAGAAAATTTTTTGAAGTGGACGTTTTGACGTACGTTCCATCGACTAAACCCCGTACGCTTATCCACTACCTCCCACAAGACGGCTAACCGAAGTGCCTGATGACAGTTCATGGTACGGAGTATTTGTTTACATCACATATGAATACCCTAGACATAATATAGCCCGGAAATGCGATAAAGGGTGTAAATGATAGGATAGAAGGCAACGCATTAGAAGCCAGAACTGTTTCTCGTTATATGTTCCTTCCTTTATTCACGCTTATACCCCTTACTAATTCGAGAAATTAATTAACAATGTTATCCGAAAAACTTATAAATGTATATATTATGTCACGTTTATACGCGACTTTATACAACATTTACATCTACTCTATCCTCTTTCGATGCAAGTTTTTTTCTCTCTTAAATATGTTTATTTTAAAACTAAAACTTATTGAAACTTTCGTGAAATTTTCACAAAAGATTTTATTATAATTAACGTTAAACTAAATGTCGTAATTATGACATGCAACTTATCTTAAAAAATTGACGATTCAAAAATACACAATTTTATGAACGTTGCTTGTTCCAACGCGAGCGTGATGATAATAAGATGGAAATTTAATTGATTTTGCTGAATTAATAAAATATGTATGTGCTATTGCAAAACACCTGACTCGTTCACCAAGATCGTTACCAGGGTGGCCGAGGATTTTTCTTGACTGCGTTTGCGATGCGTTCGATGGGTTCGGATAACGGACACCTAAGCGTCTGTTATCCGAGAAGATTATCGACACGATGCGTTAATATTACATCGTACTTTGCGTACCAATGTTCGCTCGAAGCTTAAAAATAACTTAACCATTGATATGATTCTTATGATTAAAATGAAAAGAAATGATAAATTATAGAAGAATGTTCATTAAAGTTAAGAAATGATTTATTAAAAAAAGCAATGCAAAAATAAATAAAGTTAAAAACTGATGATAAAAAGAAAAATTGAAGGGAAACGTTTACTCATTACTTGCATGCAGAAACATTATGATTGAATGGAATGTTTGATAGAAGGGATAAAAATAATTTATGTTTGCATTTAAAAACAAAATATCGATAATATTTGAATTCATATATTATATTTGAAACCCGTTACCTTTTATAATCATTGATTTTCCATAGATATAAGCAGATTACATAAAAATGTTCAGGTTATAAATAAAATAATAAGAATTACATTAATTTCATGTACACACATAAAATATACATTTTTTTTAACGTTGTTAAATTTATATTACAATTTTCATATAATATAAAGAAATTTCACACTCTTCTTATAATATATAATTTATTTAGAATCATGTAATTAATTATGAATGTTAATAAGAAATTTTTTTATTCGATATATTTTTATAATCTACAATTTAATTGTAATTTTAATATGATTTCAAAAAACTGAATAATAAACTTATCTAACATCTAAATAAATCGTATAAATTCTGCATATCTAATTATCAAAATTTCAAGATTATTAAAGTCTTTTGAAATATACGTATATTGTTTTTTTTATATATATATTTAATTAAGAAATTAAAATAAATATTACTATTTTTATAATACGGAAAGAGTATGATGTACCAATAATAAATTAGATTTACGCATATATAATAATATTGTTACAAATTATTATGAATTATTATGAATACATAGAAATATAATATAAGTACACTGGTGTTTTCTCTTTGTATGTAAATTTGTCGGAAAATAATATGAAACTTTGCCATTTTCATTATAGCAATATTATAAAAACATAGAATATAAGATTTTTTAAAAAATGTATACATTACTATATAAAATTGGTTCATCTCGATTTTTGTAATGCATATCTTATTGAACATAACGCATTATAATCTATCTTTTTGTTATAATAATTTTTATAATAATTTTAATAATCAACATTATTTATGAATAAAACAATGTAATTGTAATAATCTACATTAATAATAATTTTCAATAAAAGAAAAGTAAATTTAAAGAAACAAGTTATAACTTAGACTTGATATATTTATATGTATATGTGTATATATACGTATATATATATATATAAAATATGTATATATATATAAATATATATATCTTTAAAAAAAATTTTAACGTTCATTGAATAAAAATTAGTTTTTTAAAAACTGACTATATACTTTTCAGAATTGATAGAAGACTCTTCTCTAAAGACAAAATATTTATCACAGATAGAGTTGAAGTTATCAATAAAATCGCAATAAAATAAGATAATACAATGATATGAGAATTGACATTATTTTTTATTAATTCAATCAATATTATATATTACTGGGTTATAATTTTTACTTGATAATATCAAATTATTTCTTATCTTAAATAAAAATTATATAAAAGATTATATATTAAACTTAATAACTTTTATTGCGACTTTATGCCGTATTTTAAATATGAATATAACATTTTTTAGCAATTTGTAACTGATAGATCCATTATTTTAAAAACTTACTATATAATCAAAGATTATATAAATCGATTTGTGTGATGTATTTTACTAGAGTGAGTTAATTATATAATATATTATCAATCAATATTCTGCTATCTTATCATTTGTCTAAATTTATCCAATTCAAAGATACTTTCTGACAATCTGCAAAATTTTTAAATAATTAATTATGTTTTCGATTAATAATTTTTCTCATCATATATTTTATAAAAATAAATTAAATATAACAATTAAAATTATTAACTTTTTTAAAGCTTACCTTCCAAAAGCATTTATAAGTGCAACAATTTCACTTCTTTCTAAAAAAAATTTCCTTCTATTAAAATTATTTAAAGTTGATTCCCATCTATCAAACTTTCCTGAGAAGAGAATTTTTAATGCTGTACCCAAACCATGTATTTGAAGTTTTCCCCATAATTTACATTTATCGCAACCTACACAATCCATAATACGAGAAATATTTCTAAAATGTTGCTTAAATTGGTCTTTTAATAATTGGGCTTCAGATCCGCCAGTAAACATGATGCTTTCATTGAAATGATCAGGAAATGATCTAAAATATATCTGTATTAGATATACAATTTATAAACATTTTATTTATTAGTTATAAAATTAATCTTACTTAATAATATTTAAAATATCATTTATTGCCAAACGAGTATCTTTATCTTGTGCTTTATTACCAGTATAATATTCTTCCCTTTCTAAATATGGTGCAGCTTTAGCTAAAGCTCTTAACTCTAATAAATAAGTAAAATATAAATTTTTTAACCAATTTGGACCTTCACTTCCTGTTTCCTCTGGTGAAAATCTTTTCTGAAATTCTTGTAAATTAGGGCCCCATTGGCCACCAGGTACTATTCCTAAATTGTCTTTTGATGATAATAAATATTTTGAACACAAATGTATATTAATACTAGCATGAAGTCCTGATATAACACGATAAAAAGCTCTTTTTTCCAAACACATCCCTGCAATAATAGATTAAAATAAATTTATAATATAATAATATCCATGATAAGAAATATATTATTAATTTAAATTACATACCATTTATTTTTGAAGACTGAATAAAATTATGTGGTGAATTTTCAGGTCTGTAATTAAACATATATGTAAAACGAAATATATATTTCACAATATATTATTCATTTATTTCATTTTCAATCATTGAAAAGAATACATACCTAAAACAATTTTCCATATAAATATTTTTCCATATTCTATGTGCACTAGGACCTTTATAACCTGTATATCTTTCAGGATTTAATAAAAGATCTACATATTCTCCAGGACTTGACTCTTTTACACAAAAATTATCTTGAGCATCATCATATTGTTGCCATAATTCAAAATCTTTGTAATTCTCTGAACTAAACAAAATATATAAAAATAAATTTGAAATTATATTAAATATTATATATTTATTTATAAATTCGTTAGAAATCTATAAATTTTCTTTACCTAATTGTTGTATTTAAATAACCAAGTTCTTTATTATGATCTTTCGCACTATATAAACAATCATCATACTGTGCTCTAATTTTGTATTTATCCATAGGATTTTCATTAAAATGAATATTTCTCAATGTATCTCCTTTTAAACCATCTGGAATATCTTCCTACAATCATAAAGATACATATATATAAATTTTAACAGTTTAAATTAATAATATTACATTATAAATATATATTAATCATACTCATTATATATCATTATATAATGCAATATTATAATATTTTCAAGTAATAGTTAAAAAACTCAAATTAATATATTACTTACATCTTGACAAGGTTGTACATGACAATATCTTATAGCACATTTACTATCATCAGTCCAAAAAGGACATTCATGGTTTAAATTTACTTTATAAAAACGAAAATAATCTTTGACTAGAAGACTCTGAACTCTTGGATAAATTTTCATATTATTAAAATAATCCACTGTATCCACATTGCAACTACAA